CCCCCGTAGTGCAGCCGCCACACGGCCGCAACGGCGGACGGCGTCGCGGCCGCAACTGGAGGTGAGCAGGACCTTGTCACTGCGCCCCTGTACTACTACTATTACTACTACTACCACTACTACTACTACTACTGCTGCTACTACTACTACTACTACTACGACGACGACGACGACGACGACGACTACTACTACTACTACTACTACTACTACTTATACTACTAATATCATTATCATGATTGTTGTTATTCTTATAACTACCACGTGCTACTATTGCTACTATTGCTACTATTGCTACTATTGCTACTATTGCTACTATTGCTACTCCGGCTATGAAATGAGAGGAGCCAACGATGAGGGCAGCCGCTGTTGCTTGCCTCCGGCTATGAAATGAGAGAGCCAGCCACGCACATGTTGAGGGCAGCCGTTGTTGTTTGCCTTAGGCTAGGAAATGGAGCATTTGGGGAGGGGAGCCGGCCACGAACATGCTGAGGGCAGCGGTTGCTTGCCTCCGGCTATGAAGTGAGAGGAGCCAGCCACGCACACGATGAGGGCGGCCGCTGCTGCTTGCCTCCGGCTATGAAATGAGAGAGCCAGCCACGCATATGTTGAGGGCAGCCGTTGTTGCTTGCCTCAGGCTAGGAAAGGGAGCATTTGGGGAGGGGAGCCGGCCACGAACGTGCTGAGGGCAGCAGTTGCTTGCCTCCGGCTATGAAATGAGAGGAGCCAGCCACGCACACGTTGAGGGCAGCCGCTGTTGCTGTCTGTTGCTTGCCTCCGGCTATGAAAGGAGAGAGCCAGCCACGCACATGTTGAGGGCAGCCGTTGTTGCTTGCCTCAGGCTAGGAAAGGGAGCATTTGGGGAGGGGAGCCGGCCACGAACATGCTGAGGGCAGCGGTTGCTTGCTACCAGAGCATCCATGTCCGCACGATGATAACGTCCGTGTTACCAGAGCATCCATGTCCGCGCGATGATAACGTTTATCCATGTCCTTACGATGATAACCTCCATGCAAAAACACGGTATTTGCGACACTTCGTGGCTTCATGGCTTGCGAATGGCCAGAGCATCCATGTCCGCACGACGATAACGTCCCTGTTACCGGAGCATTTCGTGGCTTTTTTGCAGAGCATCCGTGTCCGCACGATGATAACGTCCGTGTTACCAGCGCATCCATGTTGACACAATGATAACTGGTAACGTCCGTGTTACCAGAGCATCCATGTCCGCACGATGATAACGTCCGTGTTGCCAGAGCATCCATGTCCGCGCGATGATAACGTTTGTGTGACCACTGCGTTCGCAATGGCCAGAGCATCCATGTCCTTACGATGATAACCTCCATGCAAAAACATCGGTATTTGCGACACTTCGTGGCTTCATGGCTTGCGAATGGCCAGAGCATCCATGTCCGCACGACGATAACGTCCCTGTTACCGGAGCATCCATGTCCGCTTGAGCCCAGCACTGACCTCCGCTCAGTGTCTTCCATGTCAAAAAAGACAAGATAAAAGAAACTCTGCCAATCACCTGCCATCAGCTGAAAACACTGTAAAACACACGATTTTCCTCCCAGTCCTGCGCAACCAACACACCGTCGCGTACGTAACCAGCGCGTACTACTACTACTACTACTACTACTACTACTACTACTACTACTACTACTACTACTACTACTACTACTACTACTACTACTACTACTACTACTACCACTACTACCACTACTACCACTACTACCACTACTACCACTACTACCACTACCTACTACTACCTACTACTACCTACTACTACCTACTACTACCTACTACTACTACTACTACTACTACTACTACTACTACTACTACTACTACTACTACTACTACTACTACTACTACTACCACTACTACCACTACTACCACTACTACCACTACTACCACTACTACCACTACTACCACTACTACCACTACTACCACTACTACCACTACTACCACGACTACGACTTCGACTTCGACTGCGACTACTACGACTACTATAACTGCTACTGCTACTGCAGCTGCTACTAGATGAAAAGCAGATAAGACAGGACATGGAAACCACTGTGGTGGTTTCCGTTAATGAGGAGCATATTGGAAATTACTCTAGTGCTTACATTGCGCCTGTATCACACCAGTTTTCATCGATTCTCCAGACCGCTCTCGATACAATTTTCCACTGCGCTACTTGTCATGCCCTTGATTATGTGGTAGTCCTTTCCATTCCACAGCAGTAGCTTCCACTGGCATCCCTTTCAAGCCCAGCACCTCAAACCCTAAACCCTCCAATGCGGCTGCGGCCCGACATGTGTTTTTTCTATGACGATCTCCCCGCATTGCAGCTCACCCTCGAGTATACAGGCAGAGGCTATGATAAAGCAGGAAATGGCTGAGGATTCAAAGTTTACTGCTTCGGCTTCAGGACCTTCTTTGTACAAGTGGAAGCCAGTATAAAGGGGACACAACTGGGCTTATGCAGTGTGGGGGTTCTGATATTTGGGCTTCGGCATCTCGCGCAAAGCTGAGGGATGGCGTGCCAAACATTTTGCTCTGAGTCGCGGAGTGCCAAGGAAACACGCGAAGTCGTCAAGAATCATACATATATACAAATATATGTATATATACGAGTTTCATCCAGTGCATTCCTGCTTGGGCGGCAGGAAACACACACATCAGACATCCATCTGCCACCATTCCATAGCATCCCCTCAAGCTTCGAATGCAGCCTGCCTTCCGCAGACCCAAATGGGTATTTCACAAAGTAGGGATACCCCTTCATCGTGCCGACCCATAGGAATCGAAGCATGTGTCCATGGTGCAGCCTCAACATGGGGCACGGCACCGTTTCACCAGCAAGCCTGTGCTATGATGAAGGCCGGCTCTAGTGAAGCTTTCTTCGGCCGCATTGGCAAGCCGCCTTCATGAAGTGCACCACGATCGTGCTGCCGCAGTGCTTTGATTCACTGCTCCTCGCAGCCCGGGTGGCTTGAAGCAACGTGGGGAATATACATGTAATGGAAATTTAAAAACTTAAAAGGACATGGAGCAAACCGGGAGACATCTCAAGCACGAAATGGCTTTCCCGAGCCACCGTCCTGAGCCGTCCTGTGCTCTGTGAGCTCATCGGCGTTGAGTGTGCCGCGTTCACTGACTAGACCGCCTCATATGCCAGACCGAGGCAAAAGTGATTTGCCGTTGCCGCTCCTGCTGCTTCAACATCAGATGGAAAGGCAGTCCTGCTAGCGGGTTTAGGGTTTAGGGTTTAGGGTTTAGGTTTTTTTTGTTCTTGCAGTGATTGGGAAGAGGGGGCAACTTTTGGAGCTCATGAGGACAGGTTCGCAGCTGCTTCGCAGCTCAACCAGGCCATCAGCAGCATCTGTGTACTTATGATGGGTATGTCCCAAATTTGGGGGTACACTTTCTTATACCCCAGATGGAAAAGAATCCCCTTAAAGGGACCCCCCAAGTAGGGTACCCTAGTTTCGGAAACCCTAGCTGTTTGGACAAAGACCGTCAATGGTATTTCATACTTTGTACTAGTTACGGGGATCTGCTTAGCAGTAGTTTTTCTTTCATCTATGGTTTATTTATGTTTATTTCATCCCGAAAAGGGATTGATTGTTTACAGCTGATTTATGGGTCTTGATGTGTCCAAGCGGACTTTGCGGCTTTACTCTCCACGCCTCTACTACCCATTCGAATTTCCATCTGAAGCATCACCACGGCGCTGCTGGGACATGGACCGCAGGAACCCTGCCCCGTCAGATGGCTTCTTCGACAGCATATTCGTGGTCGAATGAGAGTTCAAGAGATTGCACCATTGCAATCATTGACCGCTAGGCCCTCGTAGCAGTATTACATACCTGCGACGACAGCTTCATGTACAACTCCTCTTCCTCCTCCCCTTCTTCCTACTGTTCCCTTTTTTCAAACGACGTCCAAACGACCAGCAGACTTGGCCTGCTGGAAGTGTGTGAGCATGTGTGAACCATACAAGGTGCGGAAGGCTTCCTCATGTTGGCGGATGCAGTTGCAGGGTGATGACGAAGCTTTCGGTTGTGAGAAGCTTCGGGTAGTTCAGGTCTTCAGAGCCGCTTCAATCCTTCTTTGTTTTTGAGACGACAGACCAAAGTGTAGGAGAGGTCTCTCATACCACCAAACTACTAGACAACTCTGAGAGTGTATCAAGTACCTTCACACTCCCGCTCCCTATTTTTACGAAGTACGAAGTGATTTCCCTTTTCAAGTTGTACGTTGCGTGAACCAACCCTTTACATACGGGTGCCAAGAAAGCCTCGGATTCGTCGACATGCTTCTCCGCCCTTGGCTTCTCTCAGCAAAGGGATGGCGGGAGCTTGTAGATGCATGTCACGAGGATCACATCGAGATATATCAAACCCTAAACCCTAAACCCTATACCCTAAACCCTAAACCCTGTCCTATGTTACCTGACTTGATCTCACTTGCAAGCACACCACAGCAATTTGGTGCTGGGCAGGGGGTGCCGAAAGAGACCCTGGGGAACGCAAGCTGCAATGTCAAGATCCCAGAGCCTTAAACCCTAGGCCCTAAGCCCTAAAGCCCTAAAGCCCTAAAGCCCTAAAGCCCTAAAGCCCTAAAGCCCTAAAGCCCTAAAGCCCTAAAGCCCTAAAGCCCTAAAGCCTTGTCCAGCCGGATTCCTTTCTTCGAACAACTGCCCCTAGCAAGAGAAGCCATGTCCACGAAGGCCGGCTGCGTGGTTACTTCGGGATTTTTCAGAGAATCTGTCTAGGCGAAGCCGTAAACCCTAAACCCCAAACCCAATTGGGCAGAAGCAACTACCTACACTGCCCTCATGAAAGTCTTGCCAGCTGCAGAAATGGCAACCCGAATCAGATATGAGCTGGAACCAGATATACTTAAAGGGCATTGTCAGGCTTCGGGCACATTTCTGGCACAGCCCTCCGGGTCATTGCTGAAGTTTTGTACGTCATGCATTTGAGGGTTGTTCCATGCTGTTCCCGCGGAATCTCCGCGAATTTGTCTCAAATTCGGAAAGGCTTTATCCAGAGTACCGGTTTATGCGGCGTGAGATGTTGCCGTCCATTCCGAACGTGGTGGGCCTGATTCGATGTGGGTGCTTGTGGTTGAAGTACTGGACTGTGCACTGGGTCGTTGCAGGTGACCCTCCTGTTTGGCCTGGCTTCCTGACGCTACCCCCTGACCAGTTGTTGCCAGCGCTGAGCCAGCTGGAGCATACAGAAAGTCGCAAACGCGAAGAGTACTGGATCTCTTTTCTGCTCCTCGGACCCTTGGCAATGTGCCTTCTCTGCGAGCTGATCCGCGTGGTAGCACTGCTCTCAGCGATGTGCTGCGCCAAAGTCCGAGGCTGGAAAGATGCTTCACATGCATCCTCCGGTGAGTTCAAGCTCCTCCTCCCCGCAAGGAGCACCCCAGATGCCGAGAGCCAGATGTCTTCAGCCTTGCAGGCCCCCGAGTTGGAACACCACCGCATGTGCCGCATTTGGTGCTGCACCATTGGCATCAGCTTTTACCACGTGGCTTGCATTTCTGTGGTCTGTGTAGCAGTCGCCAACGACTGGATGACCATGAGCAGTGGACTTGCATGGGAGTTGTGGGCGCTGTGGCAACACACGTGCCTGTGGACACTTTTTTGCCAAAACCTGGTGCGGTGCTGCGGAGCAGAGACGGATGCATTGCGTGTTTCAACGGCGGATAAGGTGTTGTTATACACGATGCCACTTGTCAGCGAGCTCTTCGATACCATGAAGGACTGGACTATGACGGGAATTTGCTTGCTTGCGCCTTCGAGCAGAATGGGCTTTCTGTGGGGTGCCCTCATCGTTGCAGGCGACCTGTGCTTAACGATGCTGTGCCCGCAAGAGTGGAAGCCATGCAAGATCGACTCAGACCTAAGGATCTGCCCGCCCTTGTTGCTGATGATGGTGGTCGTGGTTGTGTTTGTTTCCCTGGTTGTGTTGCTGAGCTTCGGATTATTTGCCGTGGTGTTAGCAGGCGTGGCTGTTGCACTAGTGTTGTTCATTGGCGCGGCAGTGCAACAAGTATACCTCGTCTGCATCGGAGGAAGCAGTGTTCTTGATGTGCTGGACACCTGCTACACAAACCCCGACTCCTTTCAAGCCTACTTTGTCAAGTGTGGGATCATCGTTTTCTTTGTTGCAGGCATCTTCTGGCTGTGCGAGGAAGCTCTCCTGAACAACTGGCATGACTCACTGTCCTTTTCGCAAGAAGTTATGAGCAGCTTTTTCATCGTTCTGGAAAGAGGGCTCGCAATCTTCGCTGATGGCAGCTACTTGTGCGTGGCTTCTACTTACGTGATCGCCTCCTCGTACGTGATGGTCTTGCGCGATCCCGATGCCGCTGCCGACGTTCGCAAGACCTACTCTGGCATACTTGCTCTTCCGGCAAAATCCCTCAACTCTGGTGCTACAAGCTCAAGGCAAAAGCTGGAGATAAAGATGTCAAACCTGGTGGCTGACTTTCTCAGCCGCGGACGTTTGCTGATTTCTTGGGCTGAGGACTGGCCACAAGGCTTTGTCGGGGTATGGGTCGGGATTTTGATCGAGTCCAACTTTGCCTATGTGTCCGCCGCCTTCAGCCTTGTCAAGGGCCTGCTGATCCCGTCAGGGCAGACGTGCATGCTTGCCATAAAGCGGTCTCAGGCTGAGGAGAGCTGGAACAAGTTCTTTTCCGATCCGGCGATGCTTCGCGAGGTAAGTGAGGCCTTGGGATTAGAGGATTCGGAGTACGACCATGTGCCAGATCGGCTTCCGAACCTCCTCCAACTCCATGACGAGCGGCTTGCAGCACTGAACATCCACCGTGAGAGGCGGCTGTACGAGGACATTTTCAACGAGCAGCGCCAGTGGGCACAGGACGCCGTTGATGCCAAGCACTACGAGAAGGTTCTTGCTGCTTATACCAGAGACCAGCTGAAGTTCGGCGACCCCTCCAGGGTGCAGCCTGGTAGGCCCTTGGGACATGTTATACTTTCCCTTATATTGGGTTTAAGGTGGTCAAACTTAGGAATATTTTTTTACAGGGTAAGGGCCATCCTAGGCAGGTGCTGCAAAGTTTGCGGCAGAAGAAGTATCCGGTGCACATCTTCAAGCAAGCCGGAGCTTCTTGGAAGGAGTGCCAGGAGGCGGGCTTCGAGTTTCCAGAGCTTGCGAAAGACTTCATGCAAGATCTCCTGGATGACGGCTTTACCATCAGAGACTTCCAAACATGGGGTCAGAGCAAAGCAGTTGGCTTTACGGCTAAAGACCTGAGGGATGCAGGCCTAACGGTTGAGGAATGCAAACATGCAGGTTTCACGGCCAAAGATTGCATGGAAGCGGGCTTTACGACCCAGGTTCTCAGGGAAACCGGTTTCACGGCCAAAGAGATGAAAGAAGGAGGCAGTACGATTCACGAACTCAAGGACTCAGGCTTCACAGCCACAGCGTGCAAAACTGCAGGCTTCACGGCCACAGCATGCAAAGCTGCAGGCTTCACGGCCAAAGAATGCAAGCAAGCCGGCTTCTCAGCCCACGAAGCACGCAACGATGCAGGCTTCACGTTCGAAGAATGCAAGGATGCGGGATTCACATCCAAGGACTTCAAAGACGCAGGCTTTACGGCCCTGGAGTGCAAGGACGCAGGCTTCACGATCCAGGAGCTCAAAGAATCAGGCTTCACAGCTGGAGCGTGCAAGGATGCAGGCTTTACGGCCCGAGAGTGCAAGAATGTGGGCTTCACCATCGGAGACCTCGAAGAATCAGGCTTCACAGCTGCAGCGTGCAAAGATGCGGGGTTTACGGCCCGAGAGTGCAAGGACGCGGGCTTCACATCCAAAAACTGCAAGGATGCCGGCTATCCGGCCATGGCATGCAAGACTGCGGGCTTTACGGCCAAAGAATGTAGGGAGGCCGGCTTCGTAGCCAAAGACTGCAAGGAAGCCGGCTTCTCAGCCCTCCAAGCCTACAATGGAGGCTTTACGACCAAGGAATGCAGGGATGCTGGTTTCAAGGCCAAAGAATTCAAAGAAGCAGGTTTTACGGCCAAAGTTTGCAAGGACGCTGGCTTTGTGGCCAAAGAATGCAAGGATGCAGGCTTCGTGGCCAGTGAGTGCAGGGACGCGGGCTTTACCGCCAAGAGCTGCGAAGCAGCGGGTTTTAAAGCCAAAGAGTGCGCCGATGCAGGCTTTACTGATGAGGAGATCACGGCTGCATATTTTTCGATAAGGTAGGGCTTACGAAAGCTGCACACCTTCCACATGTGCCGCTCCGATGTTTAAAGCTTTGAAGAACGGCAGAAGCGGGAAGTCGTGAATGGCTCTGTGATGCTCTGTGCCAGCCACTGCCAGAAAACTTGGTCGCCTGCTTGCCGAAAAATCAAGCTGCGTTTAGTTGATGCATGCAGTCGCAGCTGCAACGCTGAATCTTCTTCCACAAGCAGCGCAATCATTGAGTCCGAAATATTGCCTGGGACCCTGTCTACCTGCAGTTCAGTATGTACTGCACCACCTTACTTCAGCAGGTAAAACCCCTCAAAAAATCTGTAGGTAAATAGGAGGGTCCCAGCTACTTCAGCAGGGCTGACCTTGCAGGATGCCTTTAAATCCCCCGAAAAATTTTAAAGATAATAACCTATAAGGAAGAATATTCACTCGAAACCCTAAGTCCTAAACCCCAAAAACCCTGAATCCTGAAACCCCAATTTACTTTTTAAGGGGGCTTCTTAAACAAACAGAGGCCACGGGCGCCAGGATTGCCTGGGACTTCGACTGGCTGGGGCCTGAGAACGATGGCAGTTAAAAGAAGCGTGCAAATCTGTAGCAAGAGTAATCGTAATACTAATAGGAATAAGGATACGAACAGTGATAAGAAGGAAACCCTTGGGGCAAATCTGTAGCAAGAGACACCGTATCATACGAATAGGAATAAGGATACGAATAGTGATAAGAAGGAAACAAATTTGGGTGGTTGTCAAAACTGTGGTCCCTTTTTGGATTCCCTATCATAATACGGCACCTGATATCTAGGGTACCCCAAAAGGGACCATAGTTTTGACAACCACCTAAATGGAAATAGGAATAGATTCCAGCAGGCCCTGTCACTTGTGCCTTCGGGCCGAGGCTCCGCACCTCGAGCCCTGAAGGGCGCGCGTGTGAGGATGCCTAGGGTTTAGGGTTTTAGGGTGTAGGGTTTAGGGTTTAGGGTTCCTGTGCAGCTCCTGGAGCCTGGCTGGGTTGCATTGCCGGCCTAGAACATTACAGTAATTATCCGTTTCATGTGAAAAGGAGTCAGGGAACCGGGCGCATGCAACGGGAAGTAACGTATGACAGGCGAATGATTCTTACTGGGTTTCACGAGACAAAATGGCACGCGCTTGTCAAAACATGGTCTTTGTGAAGCCATTGAAGCTTGGTTGCGTAAAAAAACTCAGTCTTTCTATAGTTCTCCATGTAAAACGCAAGGACCATCATGTTTCACGTCGTTGACACAAGGCAATGGTTATCATTGCGCCGCCACTATGCAATCCAATCCCTTCCCTCCTAATACCCACCCCCCCGCCCAACCCTGTGATTCTAAAATCCGTGTCGGCCGGAAAATATATAAAATGAGGGGGACCTAAACCCTAAAACCTGAAAACCGAGCCTTGAACCCTAAACCCTGAAATCCTCTGAGCCTTTCTAAGCCCAAAACCCTAGTTGAAAACCCTAATGGCTCAACTCAAGGGCGGAGGCCCTCAACCCCCGGGGGGTCCTTCGGAAATGGGGTTTATTTCCGTTTGGCTGTCTCGCTTTCTTCGCTGGTGTCTTTGGGGCGGCTGTGGAGGCTGAGGCGATGTGAGATGCTAAGAATCTCTAACGCTGCCGCTTTGAGAATCAGCTGGACTTTCTTCCTGCTCGGAAGTTTGCCCCCGTTCCGAAAGCAGAACGCGAGGACCCTTCGCTCTATTTCTCCCAGGCGACAAGCCTGCAAATTGGGTTGGCCTCAGCGTTCCCAGCGTTCTGGCTCTTGCTTCGCAAGCGCATCGCCTCCTCGCCTTGCAGCCTACTTGGGGAAGGTTCCCATGGGGTGGTTTTGCCACCATTTAGGGTGTTTCTGGTTTGTAGGGCTCAAAAAGGGTGACCTTGTGTCATCTTGAGACGTCTTATGCGTGGAAGCACCTCGGGCGTACTCTGTATTGAAGTCGTTATGACGTGCCTCGCGGAAGTTGTCAATTGCACCACGGAGCTGAATTTTCTTGCTGCCTTGGCAAGACTCACGCTCACCGCCCGCCGCAGCACAGGCTCCATGGTCTGCGTCACATCTTGGACAAGACAGGAACATTCTATCCAACGCAGTACAGTATTGCCACGGGCTGGTGAAATATGTTGTTGAGATCTTCCGCACCATTCTGGAGATTTGCTGGGGGCATTTGCGCGGCACGTCTGAGACAGCGCGTCCGGGCTGGGTCACGAGGCGTTCGACCGCGACTCATCCGAACGCCTGCCGCAACAGCATCGACGTGGCAAAAGGAGGGCCGCTGCCTACTGGGCCGAGGCTGTCAGCAGAGACAAAAAGCCTCGACCACATCCGCAGTCGCCTCTTGACTGGAAGGTGCAGCGACTTGCGTAGGGCTGGCGGCGCAGTTGCAGGTTGACTTCGGAAACTTAAAGGCCACGATGCAGAGCGCCCGGCCGACTTCATGTTTTCTTACTTTCCGATTTGGATGCAGTGTCGTTTGGGCGTCGAGGCATTGTCGTTTGAGGAGCGCCAGCAACTGATTCACATCCCGACGCAGATGAAGAATGAAATTGGTTTGGACCTTCAGCATAGTTGCGGCCCCCCGCACAACCTGGCATGTAGGGTCGGGCAAGAAGTAGTAGGCATCTTGGCAAGGAAGTAGTAGGCATCGCCTTGGCATGTAGGGTCGGGCAAGAAGTAGTAGGCATCTTGGCAAGGAAGTAGTAGGCATCGCCTTGGCATGTAGGGTCGGGCAAGAAGTAGTAGGCATCGCCTTGGCAGGTAGGGTCGGGCAAGAAGTAGCGCCTTGGCAAGTAGTGTGGTCTGCAGGTCTCCGTCCGTTTTGGCGGTGATGACGAGTTGGGTGTCAAGGCGCTGCAGATCATGCGTGGCCATCCTCAATCAAGGCCTCTGATGTCGCCAGCTTGCGGTTGTTGCCGTCCCGCGGCTCTGATTCGCCGTCCAGTTTCAAATTTTTTGGGCGTACTTGGCCTGCTAAGTTAAACGTATTCGGATTTCCCTGAAAAATCACGCGCGTAGACATGACGAATGCATTTTGTGGCGACGAGGGGCGGCGATCCCGCCGGGGCAGCGGTCGTGAAGCCTCCGAGAGGCTGGCTCCTTGAGATACAGGAGCTCGGGGCCCTCGCCAAGTCTGGTTGTGGGCGCGCCCTTGTGGAGGACGATGCTTCAGGGCAGAGCGGACCGGTATATATATATATACATATACATATACATATACATATATCTTCGCATCTCTGAGGAGACATCTGTCACATGTGTACATATACATATACATATACATATACATATACATATACATATACATATACATATACATATACATATACATATACATATACATATACATATACATATACATATACAGAAAAATATATACAAATACATATTCAGATTCATATAACCCCCCAACCCCCCAACCCCCCAACCCCCCAACCCCCAAACCCCCCAACCCCCAAACCCCCCAACCCCCAAACCCCCAAACCCCCAAACCCCCAAACCCCCAAACCCCCAAACCCCCAAACCCCCAAACCCCCAAACCCCCAAACCCCCAAACCCCCAAACCCCCAGACCCCCAAACCCCCAAACCCCCAACCCCCCCCCCCGCACCCCACGCCCCTCCCAGAGCCTTCTGGCCCAGATCCCCGTGCCGGGAAAAAACTAAAACATCAGGTTAACAAGATTAGTTTGTTTTGGTCAATCCAGACATGAGGTTAACAAAATTGTAGTTTTTTTTGGCTGTCCGTGCCCGAAAAAAAACGAAAAACATGAAGTTCAGAAATTAGGTTTTTCTTTGGCTGGGGAAAGCACGAAACAGGAGGCTAACACAATTAGGTGTTACTTTCGGGCTGTTCGTGCCCGAAAACAAAAACACCCGAATTGCAGTTGGGAAAACAAGAAACATGAGGTTAGCAAAAACTGTTCGTTTCTCGCGGGCCGATTGAGTGCTTCGAGAGTGGGGTGGACCGCTCCATGACAGAGTGAGGTTGGGGGACAGTGCTTGTTGATGAAAAAGCTAAGCTTTATGTTTCTTAATGTTTTGGGATTCTTTGGGTGGGTGGGTTGTTTTCTATGTTCTAGAGTCCAAACCGCGGCTCTACCAGAGATTGCTCGACCCGGAGCTGCTGAACCTTAAGCCCTAATCCCTAAGCCCTAAACATCCCCAAGCCTTAAACCTCTATTTCGCATAATATGTATTTAAACCTGGAACAATTTTCCGGGCATTGCCATGCCCACGTTTTTTTGTGCCCTGCCCACGGCAAATGGGCATTGGCCGCCCACGGCAAACTTTGCCATGCCCACAGCAAACTTTGCCATGCCCATGGCAAACGTCCTGGGCAGTAGGAGCTAGGGGCTGCTGGGCCTTGGGCTTATAATAGGGTTTAGGGGCCACTGGCCTTGGGCTTAAGGATGTAGGGGCTACTGGGCTTTAGGGTTCAGGGCCTAGTGAAACCACAAGACTAGCAGCAAAGTATTTGCGATCCACTTCCTTTCTCGGACGTACACGCGTGACTACCATATTGTCCATACATGAAACCCATCTCGCAGCGATACATATCTGTTTATACGGACGCATAAAGCACAAACTGTAACAGCACAGATTTAGCGATCCTCTTCCTTTCTCGAGCGCGCACGCGTGATTACCATATATCTGTCAATACATGAGAGGAAGGAGTTCACGGGGGGGTAAGGGGGGGCAGGGGATTAAGAGGGTGGGAGGGTGTAAGGGGGAGGGGGGGCAAGAGGCGGGGCAAGAGGGGGGGGGGGGTGGGGGCTAAAGGGGCTGTATGGGGCATGTCAGAGGGTGGTAAGAGGGAGGTAAAAAAGGAGGGTCAAAGCTTCTATTTGGAACTGTAAGCCCTAGTTTTACTAATCCCATCCAAACCTTTTGGGTTTGACCATACTGGAAACTGCTGTGTTGTTGGCGGTCTGCTGTATCCTTCGATAGTCTACTAGGTGACCTGAACTCCTGGGGCGTAACCCCTGCAAACTT